TGTGTGTTTTTCCTCAAGAGCAGTTTGTATTATGTAGACTTGACTTCTTTCTTTCTTGTACCTCGTATGCTTTCCATTTGTACCTATCCTGGGCAGAATTACAAGATTATGCAAGTAGCAGCACAACTTTTCTTCATTTAACTGGTCTAACTGCAAATGACTGCATGAAATTAAAAGTTAGAAGAGTAAGACCATATATCACATTTTGTTCCCAGTCATAAAGTTCTGAAGAATAAATAAAAATTATGTTTTCTAAAACCATGACTCTTATCTCAATGGCCCAAGATTAATTTCTGTGTTCTCTTCCTTCCTCTCCTACAGCTTTTTGGGCTCAACTGCCTGAAATGTTTCTTATCTCTCTTCCTAGAATGGGCCATATCTCCTTCCTGCCTCCTCTTTCTCACAAACATTTGCACAGCCATTCCTCTCCATAGCAGAAAGCTCCAGAGGGGTCTCCTCTCATGATGATTGGCAGAAGAATCAAGTTGTTACATTTCTGGTTTGAATTTACTGCTGACACTGTTTTGACAATCTCTTGAGGTTCTCCAAGAGAACGATCCACGTGCTATAAGGGGACCAGCCTGTCTGCAGAGAAGTGGTCACCTCACCAATTGTCTGCAATCGTGTTTTGGCATTTAATGAAGATGTGCATCAGATCATTGCACACAGGAAGTGCAGGCACAGCATGGCATGGCTGCCTAAAATATTTTTGGAAAGGCAATCGTGGTATGCCTGAGAGAAATGTTACCTCACACCTTGATCTTGCCGGTTCTTTACAGACAGTGAGAGCTGCTTCCACTGCAGACCTGGGAGAGCCGCAAGATGGAAAGACATAAAAGACTTCTCTGAAGTCAGCTACATGTGGATTGTATTGCAATACAAAAATCTGGGAGTTGTGCTGGGTGCCGCAGCATGCATACTAAGGAAGCCCACTTGTAAACACTCATAACGCCACTGCATCCAGAGCAGAAAGGAACATGTGCACTGAAACCCTTTATGCCGTGGAAAGGAAAGGAACATAAACAACAGGCTCAGGGCTTGCTTTTGTACAGTTTAGAAGCAGACTTCCTGAATGATAAAGAAAACTGCTGTGGAGTTTACGGTTTGGTTCTGACCTACTCATGCCTCCAGGTTCCCAGGAACTTCAGTGGTAATTTGCAGAAAGGACCAGATCCTCTGCCACTGCCCAGGTGGTCATATTGGCATTATGTTAATTAACACATTCGACATTGAGACATTTTTCAATTATCTCTTCTACTAACGATATAAATACTAAGTCAGAAGTGGAAAGTCACAAAATTAGCTAGGTGGATCCCTTCATTTGAGTATGACCTGTGAATCCCACTCCTGTGAGAAAACACAACATTCTGTAGATGACTGAGAAATAAGGTTATATCAAGTAGTTTTTGTTAAAATCCTTTTAAACTACTGTTAAGATTTGAAACTGAGAAGCCCATTTATATTCATTTAATTTCATCCACTGCTAATTTTATTTATGCTGCAATACTTTCAAATAATATTTAACCAGCATGCAAGCAATAGATGCGCAGATGTTAGGTAGGTGGAAGGATAATCTATGACCCAGAGCAAGCTGTAAACCAACTCTACCAGTTATAAATGATGTTCTGTGTGTTACAAATCTTTGACACTTTAAACTCTAGTTAACATGTATGATGATTTAGCCCATAAACCAATTCCACCCTGAGACAAATGCATTTCCTTGGTTAAAGGGTTTCTTAAGGGAATATTTAATGTGTTGTATAACAGTAAAATTCTTTTACTTAGCAAATAATTCCAGATACCCAAAACTGTGTCAAAGCAAGGTTGTACTGGCAATCCCATATCTGCTTCATAAAAACCATATTTCTCTGTTTTAAACTAGATTTTTAGAAAGTAATAATAAAATCTTGGAAATGTTCATAAAATAATAATAGTCAAGCCCTTCTTGGAAAAAAAAAAGACTCTGTAGGTAGCTGGACATATTTTCAGGTATGTGGATGCGTGCCATTTTTTTTCACAGGAACCAGGGAATGGAGTATTGGAAGGGATCCCGAGACATTTTCTGGGTTAGGTATACCTAGACTGTGTGACACTTATCACAGGGGCTATACAAAATCATTTCTAGGATGTTCATGAAGGCAGCTCACCAATTTTTTGTGATAACCTATTTATGAAGACAGTTGAAAAAAGCACAGTAGAGCTTTCTCGGTGGTTAGAAATCAGAGAGAATGGCACCGGAATCTAACTTTCAATTGGGTGATAAGAGAAGGATTAAAGGCCAGAGGCAACTATCTTCCTCATGACACTATTGTGACACTAGCAAACTCTCCCAAAAATTTATTCGCAGAGATTTTTTTAAGAACTATTCTCTAACCAGTTCTTTAAAAAGCCAGTCAAGGTGACTGCTATATTACTTTAACCTTTTTCTTTGCAGTGCCTTTCCTGATGATGCCTTATTCCTTAGGGCTTCATGTAGAAAAGTGTGAGGAAGGGGATTCAAACAGTTTTCTCCACCAGCTGCTCCTGGATTGCATCAATTTCTGTGAGCCACAGAGTGCAACTGGTTTGGTCTCTGTGCAATGACAGAAATTGAGGTCTCCTGTTCAGTCCAAGTCATGGTTCTCTCCTGCTTGCCCTCCTCTTTGCCCCAGGTTCCTGTGGGCTCTGCTTCCATCCTGTCACTATAGAATTCAATGTCTATATTTCTCAGGACTGGAAAACTGGTTCAAGTCAGTGTATTCCCCAGAGACCCCTCAATTTACATCTGTGCATAACAATATTTTAATACTTTCATGTGAAATAGCATCTCTGTTCAGTGGTTCTGCTTGCAGAGCAGGTACCAGATAGCGTGGCAAGCTTTGTGAAGTCTTTGCCATGGATGTGCAACAACAGCAGCAACCCCAGGCCTTAGAGGGTGTTTTGGGAAGCATCTGGCTTGTTACTTTTGGTCTCGGAAAGCTGTGAGCTGTGATATATGTCCATGTGCAGAGACAGGACCAACCACCATAAAGATAGACACATCAAGAGATCAAGTTGGTCAAACCAGATAAATTTTTGCTTAACCACTATCTCTTCCTCATTCTATTCTTCTTGCATTTACAAACTTCTGATTTCCTTTTCTGTTACTTTAGTAACCATCTATGTCTATATTTACTTTAGGAACCAAGTAATACCTTTTTCTTCCTTTAAAGAAAACTGGATTGGTATTCAAGCCTAACTGAGGGATTTTTCCTGAATTTATTTTCTTTCAGTGACTTTTAAATATAAGCCTCTGTCCTACCTTTGTATCCCCTTTTCATTCTCCAATTCTGAAGTTTCCAGTAATTTCTAATTTTTTACCCTCTTAACATTTCGTGTTGAATTTATGCGCACTGAACTGGATTCCATTGGCAGTCCAGCCACATTTCTGAGCTACCTTTTGCAGACTGTGTGATATTAATTTATGAGCCATAAGCTGAAAACTGTCGCACTACCATCTTCTCTCTGTTTTGTTAACAGCAAAATTTGACTCATTTGAGCCTAGATTGTGTGTATTACAAAACACCATGGGAGCAGAGATTGTCAGAAAATGCTTGGGGAATCCAGTAATCATATGGAATGGTCTTATTAAAAAAAAAAAAAAAAAAAAAGCTGTTTCTGATCAGTTTTGGTGCTGTGAAGGTCCTACCCAATTTATGCTGTGCACCCATTATTTTATTCAGACCCACACATTTTCAAAAAGCCCTATTCGCAGAAATCCAGAGATGGGAATGCAGAGGTTAGTGCTGGTGCTCCTTGGGATGGAGAGAGGTCAGCGGCAGACCTCTCCATGAGTCAGCCTGCTGGAAATGATGGCCAAGCTATTGCCTTGTCCTTCCCATGACACAGCAATCTTGGAGGCAGAAAAGCCAGCATCACTTACTAGCCTGTGTTCACTGTGCCCATCCTCAAGTGGCTGGTGGAGATGAGATTGCTAAGCTCAGCAGCTGTCTGCTTTTTATCTGCCAAGTGGAAATGGACCCAATTGCTTTTGTGCAGGTAGGCTTTACCTTGACTGTGTCCCTTTAAATCACAGCATGCACAATTCAGTAAGAACAAAGTATAAGTACAATGAAAGCCGGGAGCTCCTTTCAATATGGAAATGTTTCCCCAAGTGACTCAAATTAAATTTCATAAGAAGAAATCCATAGTTCCATGAAATTTATAGATGCATTATAAAAAAGAAGTATATTGCAGTCTACTTGATTTACTGTTGATTCTTTGGGCAGCACTCAGCAGAGTAAAGGAGGAATGTGATTTGGAAATGCACCGGAGGGGATTCAGCAGTATGCTGGCAGCATCAAGTTTCATCCAATTCGAGGGGACTTTCACTCTGCTTGGATACTGTAACTAACTGGGTTTACTATCGAATTACATTTTGCTGGGTCCCCTGTAAATCTGAGAACTAATGAAAATAAATGCAAATATAGTGACTTTTGCCTCATTTGCGCTCCCATTAAGCCTTCAGCTATTCTGACATAATTTGTTTCTCTTTTACCATCTCTGTTTTTTATGGGTTGTGTATGGAGACCAAAGCTTCTGTTCTGCAGGAGGACACACAGAGAAACAGTCCACTGGGGAGTAATCCAAAGAGTGCCATGAGTTGGATTTGAAATTAAGCCTTTTGTCTGTGACCAGTTACGGGGTCTTTGCATGCACGTAGGTGAAGCTGACCTTAGGTGTTAGGTCTAAAGAAAGGCTGTGGAAGGTTTGAGGGTATCTGAGCCCTTTGTCAACACCTTGCATTTGAAACCAGGACCCCCCACCTCGGAGTTACAATAGGTTTGCATGTCCTGTGTGCTGGGCACATCATGGGATGCTGGCACCAGCAGGTTACATAGTAGGTGTTGCTGCCCCATGTAGCATGAACTGGATAAGTGGGAGTCTGGGTGACTCTTCCTGCCCACTCTGGTGGACGCATTCAGGAAGAAAAAAACAAACAACAACAAAAACCCCTTTTCTCCTTCCCATGAATAACTTACCTTCCATCAGGTACCAGGAGAGAGCCAAAGGAGTCTGACTCTAGTGGTCACACACAGACTGGCTTGCTTAACGTAGTGTGCACAAAACTTGCAAAAACAAACCCTGAAGCCTGTGGCAGAGATATCAGTAAGCAGACACTTGAAAAGGCTGAGTGCTTGTTAATATTTAACAAGCAAGTCCCCATCTGACTCAGTGGTGTTGTGCTTTGTTTATCTAATCCCTATATTCTCCAAGGGAAAAAAAACTCTCTTTATTAGCCTATGACAAATAAGTAAAGAGGAGGACCTGGAAGAATCTCACTGAATTTTCTGTTTAATAGTAAAGCAGCCTGTGTTGCACAGTCTTCCCTTTATGAGATGAAGCAATATTTTAGACTGATTTAAGCAAATCTTCTTCCCTCAAACAGGATGGTAAAAGAGGTAATATTTGCCTGCCCTGAGGTTTGCAAATGGATTTCAGAACTGTCTTCAAATTACCCTTTCTGCCAGACTCATTTGTGGTGGAACTTAGGAACAAGTGAGAAGGCAATGTTTTGAGCCAGACTTAGTTTAATTTTAGACAGAGACTCATAGTTCAAATCTAAGGCCAAACTATGCCTTCAGGGAATATAGCTGTTGGAAATGTGTAGCTTTTCTAGCTACTTTTCAATACCCAGACTTCTAGTCTGTGGAAAATATAGGTTTATCCATTCTCCTGAAAATAATTTTTATGGAATTTTATGGATTTGTTCTACCAATTTAAGCTTCTGGGCAAAGGTACTCTCAGTGTAGGATGACACCAAATCCTAGCTGACCAAGGAAGTTCTTTCAAGCTGAGTTAGACAATGAGTCTCAACCAAGTCTACTGGAGTAGGATCCAAAGTGTCTTATTCGGGGCCCAGGTTTTAGCCTTTATTTGAAGTCTCATTTTCATGGCCTAGCTCAGGCAGAGCGAGCATCGCAGCTGATCATAGCTCTGTTTCATAAAACCCATGTCAAAAGTGGGACTAGAAATGGTCTTGCTTGGAAGCGGTCTGTGCTGTGGGACACATTCCCCTTTGAAGCAGGAGGGAACATGGATTCTCTCTCCTGTCAGAGGGACAATCCTCCATTCCTGATATCTGTTCTAATGAGTTTTATAAGAGCCGTTGTACTCAGTGAAACCAGGAGTGCTATTTTTGGACTATGGTACCTGAAATTTGGCCATATTGATCAACATAACTGGTCTACTCTGGCCTCCAATCTGGAGGTCTGGAGACACACTATATTTAACGCTGCTGATGCTTTTGAGAAGGCACATAGGATCACTCTTGAGGAGAAAAGACAATGCAGAAAGAATCGTGTCTTGCACAATATACCACCTAAGGAGTCTTTCTGCTGTGCCTTTTGCAGTCGGACGTACCTATCTCACATTGACCTTTTTACCCACCAGCGTGCTTGTAACAAACATGGGTAGAACCCTCCCCAAATCTTCGTTCGCGAAGCGCAGCCATGATGATGATGATGATGACCTGTAATTCTGCTATGTTTCTTTAATACAGAACAGTCATTTCCTTTAGAAGTCCATGCATGGTTTTACAGTCTCACTACCTATCCATACTTCAGCTAACGGTTTTGTTTTTTTCTTTGTATTCTGACTTTCATCTTTCCTGGTTGCCATGGTGATAGCAATACAAACATCTCCAAAGGATGAGCTGCTTCCCTTGGAAGAAGAATGGCTTACTATACACATCAGGGCTGCAGAAATGTTTAATGAAATTTTGACCACATGGTAAGCTAGTTTGGTGGATCATAAAGCAGAAATCACCATCTGGGTCTACGGTCATGTCAGTTACATTGACATTTTATTTTATTCTCTTCCATTCTGAAGACTACATTTTGTTTCTTGTTCAGGCCAACAGGGTTATAAGTTACAAAGATTATTTGGCAATCTAAAGAGCTATTTATAGATTAAGTAGAATATTTACTGCCAAAAGAAGTTTCTCCTCAGATTCAGATCTAGATCAGCTTGATTATATTCTTTAAGAAACATATTTCAGCCCTATATCCTCCTGTTCATGGTGTTTTTTATGTAAGAGATTGAACAAAACATCTCATCCCCTCCACAGAGGACAAACAGTTGTCAGCACACACCACAAATGCAATTTACATCTGATGAAACTGGGGGAAACTGCAAATAACTTGATCAGAGTGTATATAGGAAATGAGTGCCAGAACCCAAAATGGTCCCCTGCATGGACTGCGTGGTGTCTGGTCCTGTGCTCAGACTGCATGAACACAACTCTCTTTAGCAAATGTGTCATACAGAGTGTTGGTCTCCAAAGCAGCTTTAATATGACCAACAAAGAGCTTGCAATGTTCCTGACTGGGGATAGCATCCCAGTAGCGGATGTATGGTACAGGATGGTACGCAGCAACCTTCCCACCACTGAGTGTCTGCAAGGTTAAAAAATCTCAAACTGTTCTTCAGGGTGGGCTTCTTCTGAGCTTCTGCATTACACTCCTGTGGGAGGGAATTCTTGGACTATAGTTGAACCTGGAAAAAAAACCAGTTTATTGCAAAAAAATATTCAGTTTGGAGTCAGAAGAAAAATCCTTGCAACACGAAGACAGGTGGCCTCACCCACTGTAATCTAGAGATGAACCCAGGGTGGTATCTCTTCTCTTTTTCAACATGCAAAGAGTTAAAGCAACATGCTTTCAAATACCTCTAGCTTCAGTCTCACCTCCTCCCATTCCTGCCCTGTATTCTGGAACTGTAACTGGTGACAAAGACTTGAAAGGAAAACAGAAAGAACAATATTATGCGCATTTGGAAAATGTAGGAATAAATGTTGTTCCCTTAGGGAATCACTTGAGTGACACAATGGAAAAAAGCCTCAGGGGCGTGTGTTCCTGCACTATTTGCCTCCACACCCAGTGCAAAGGCCCCTGGGCTTCCAATGGAATTAAGTCTACACTTCACGTTGCACAAGTGATACAGGCCTTGAAGAAATCTTTCTTAACTATGTATATGTTCCAAATCAGCTGTTGCTCTTTAGCAGGAGAGAATTAAGCTTGTCCTGTGCCAAATTTGGCAGCAAATATTCTTCATCTATCTTTGCCATTATGACTTATAATTTTATAATTTTATAGTAAATTTAATATTATTGAATATCATATCAAAGATAGAAAACATTTTTGGATATATGTGCATGCAACCATGAACTGTATATCATTAATATATTTACTGTCTGTATTACTTTGAGGCAAATATATAGGGTAAAAATGAACATGCTATTCAAATGTTTAAGATGTTTTGAAAATAACTCAAAAAAATTTCAGTTTTGCATTGAAGTACTTTCAAATTTCCTTATGTATTTGTGAAAATGACAGTTAGAAGGCAGCTTTTTTTAATTTACTTGGCAAAAAATTTTAATAGCAGCAGCTGTCCAAACATACTGCAAGACTCCCTTACAAAAATATACAACACCTACTGAGGTAACTAAACTTTTGAATTGGTATTTTGTTTACAAGCAAATGCAGTTACTCTTGTGCTCCCATCACATACTACCTTTTGCAGATGGTTGTGAGTTTTTCTGTTTGAAAGAGTTTGGGGAGTTTCTAAGGGGGAAAATGTCAAGACTGAAGTAGAAAAGAGAAAAACTGATGTGCCAGTGCTCGACACAGCCATTTTGAATTACTGTGACTTCACTGCTTTTCAAAGATCCACTAATACAGAGTGCATGGTAGTTCAGGATGGAGAAGTTACTCTGATTTTGTATGCATGCATGTGTTTGAGAGCTGTATTACAGCAGTATAGCTGGTCACTGTTCCCAGTTTAACCACACCCAAGGCCACCTTCACCATCAATCTCTGCCCATTGCTCCTCATCAGTTCTCAGTTCTCAAACCCAGAAAGCAGTACCCCATGTCCCTGGGCATCACCATGGCAAAGCAGTGAGATAGCCCTGCATGGGAGGTCCTGCTGCTTGCTTATTCCTCATACAGACCAAATTTTTTCTTTTTCTGGCCAGATCTCCTTTGCCACACATAACCACTAATTTCAGGGAGGTAAGCAGGTGCCAAGATGTTGTCACCCTGTCTTTGATGGGTTCCTCTTTGATGGACTCCTTACCCTTAGCTTTCCCAATGGGGAACACAAGGTACTAGCAGGTTGAGGATAACTAACTCCAATGTTATCTAGATCTGTTTATGAGTTTTGCATCTTTATGAGCCTTCCAGGATAAAAAGGATCTTTATTTAATTAGTACTTGAAAAAATCTTGTGAGGTACTGGATGCAAATGAGTTGTCAGGTATATTCTGCTCTTCACACTGCTGCTGGGACATATTGAAGCAAGTCAGACCGTCATCATCTCAGGACTACTGGAGTAGCCAGGCGGTCTAGAAAGGGCTCCAGACTGTTCTGAGAAATTGGCTCTGAGAATAAGCTAGTTTTAACAAATACAGCTGATTAAAATATTCATGTATTCACATTTCTGTCTCTTACACAAATGCTGGATTCAGTAGAATCTCTTTCAGGTCATAAAACTTCATCTCAGTAAGATGCACAAACCTCATGGGAACACTTTGTACCTGCTGGGATAAGCAGGTACATGAGTAACACCAGCCATACTGCAAATAAGCACCATGCAAAAGTCCCTGCTGCTACGCTGGTGCTGTTATTATCCTTTAATTTTTATGATGTCTTTACTAACCAGTCATACCATGCATCTTCTTTACTTTTTATCTGTACCACACAAACTCTTTCCTATCCAGCCACATCATGTAATATCTCTGCTGGTCTAGTCCAGGCTCTTGATAACTGCTGTACTCAGGAATCTTCCAAAGCTGAGAAGAGCTTCAGACAAGTCTGAGAGCCAAGTGGCTCCCCTTAGAGTTTTATGGATCTACTGGATGGAAAGGGACAAAGTGATTGTCTCCTTTCACAGATAAAACCCCTAGGCTTCCATGGTGTTACCCTTTGGCAGCAGTGCTCCAGTGCTCCCCCTCTCATACAACAGCACTTGTGTCTCCCAGCTGGAAATGCTCTGTCTCTCACAGCCCCTTGTACAGTGGTGTGGGGAATCACCCAAAGTCTCTTTCTATGAGGACTAGCTGTTGGAGAGCTACTCCTGCTCAGGCAAAAGGAGGGCCCATGGTCAGGCATCTCCCAGGAAAACCATGAGTGACATGAGGCTGTAAAGAGACTCTGGTTCTTGTAAAATTATAATAAGGAAATAATAATTTCTCGAGGTGCTCCACCAAATCAGCAAAACCACATCCAACCATTCCAATAACCACTAAGAATATAACTCCTTTAGGAATGATGGGAAAAAAATAAGTTAAACAGGGAAAGGGGGGAGCAGAAATGCTTGAAGAAAAAACAGGGAGAACAAAGCAGTAAACTCTGGAAAGAGAAGATGCAACAAGTAAGCCAGAGTCATACGAACATCAGTTTTAGTCCATTGCTGAGAAACTGAGAATGCATCTGGTCTAACTCCCCGTAGACATGAGAGGTGGGTTTCCCAGAAGGAATGAAAGTTCAGTATGAAGCAGCAATAGGTTTAAGAGTAAATTTTCAGATGGAACTAAAATCAAGGCACTGAATTGTCTCCCAATTTACCCTCACCCCACTGTATTTCTCACACTGTCATCTTATGTTTTTCTTATGTGAAAGTAAGAGCTGTCTGAAGACCATCAAGTAATCAAATTGGTGGTATCTGAGCATGGACTAAATGTAAGTATTCATCTACTTTTCTTATCCGTGGAGCTGAAACTCAACACTTTCAAGGAAATAAAAAGATTTATAGATTAGACATCCATGTATATTCCCACTCAGTAGCCCAGTGTTCCCTCTCAGCCATATATCAGCTCAGACACCTCAGAGAATGGCATAAAGGTAACCACAGAGATAAGTGCATTAAAATGATTATAGTCATGATAAACTTAACAATTTAAACAGTTGTGTAAGTCTGGCCTAATCCTAATAAAACTCTCCCAAGTCTGGTAACCTAAAAATAGAAAAATTTTAAAAAATAAACCATGACAAAAGAAACCCACAAAACCAAAACCAAACCAAACCAAACCCAAAACCAACCAAACCAAAGACAAAGAAACAAACAAACAAAACCAAACAAAAACCCAACCAACCAACCAACCAACCAAACAAACAAAACAAAAAAAACACCTACTCAAAATTAGTTCTACCTTAAAGACAGGAGAATTTGTGCTTTGCAGCTAGACCTAAATTCTACCTCTCCAGGAGACAGAGCTTTTGTGTCACAAGTTCATTGTTATATTTTTAGACCCAGACACTGAAAGGTGGGGCCTGAATATAAACCTCATTGTTCTTTGGCAGCAAACAGGAAACAAATGATACCTCATGGAGTTCAAGTTCAACTCAAGTTCCTGGGAAGGCTGGGGTCTGTTAGTTCATTTGTTTGTTTTGGTTTTCCCAGACACTACAGTTTTCTCATTACCTTCTTTCACAGGAAGTTTTTAGTAGCTCTTCATGTACCTATTGTGGTGGTCATAATGTGGAGGGTTTTAAAGGCTTCAAGTAACTTTCTGGAAGAGCATCAAGGGTGGGTTAAATAACCACTCTGCTAATTTAGCTTGGGTCTTCTGCCAGTGCAAGCCCAAAGTTGCCCTTTGTGGGTCAAGATGTCAATATCCACAGCTGCACTTTGCTTTTGAGAAAGGTATTTGCACACTTGTCCTTACTTGCTGTTATAATAAGGCAGAGTTGTATGGTACAGAGACAAAAAAGAGGTATTATGCAAGGTCTGGAGTTGGAGCCTGTGTGCTGGACTGGCTCCTCCCAATCACATACTGGCAGTACAAGCTTCTGGCTAAGGAGCTCTGTTTAGGAAGGAATAGTGTGTTTTCCTGTGCTCTTATGAACCCACCAGTATCTATCCCCTTTCCACCTCCCAGCTCCATTTATATACTTCTTATGTCTGAGCATCCAAGAGGATCATCAGCTTCCCATGTGTGAAAAAACAGTGTTATAATGAGGTGTTGATATGTTTGGAGTGCTACCTGCTATGATAATAGAAATTATTAACAGTGATAGATCATTTTCCATACCCACGCAGATAATAGCCTCTCTCCTGGGACAGCTGACAATCTAATTGTGGCAGAAAGAAGGGAGGCCTGAAGCACATTTCATTAGTAGTTATTGACTGAGCTAGTCTGTCTTGTCCTCCAGGAAAAAAAATAAATTACAAGAAACACCTGACAGGAAAAAGGAAAAGCCTGTGCAGTACTTTTTAAAAATCAGCACAGGCATAATTAAGGATAACAATGTAGCAGCGAGTCAGTGCAATGGATCAGCATTCTCTTGTTCCACTGTGCACAACAACATATTTTTCCCAAGAGACATTTTTTAAGGTGCAAAAGTTCACCTGCTGTCTGGTAATTCACTTTGAGCTGGGACTGTGATCACTTAATGGATTCTTCTGGTGCTGGCTGCTATGGTAACAGCTGCATCACACTCTCCATAGGCTTGTTTTTGGAGGAGAGTGTAAACTGTGAGAGCAAATCTCAGATGGG